AGGGAGGATTTACCCTGTGGTAATTTGCGGGGTAATCTGTCATTCAGCTTCAGTAGAGCACCGGGAACAACATGTTGCATTACGACATTTTTAAGTGTTGTTATATAAAACCCACCATATGAGGACACACTCATCTTGGAGGGTTAAAAAATCCTCTTGAACTCCTCGGTGATCTTTTTCTTCCCTGTGGTGGTATTGCTTGTTGCAAGTTTCCCAGAGAGTATAATAGTACTTCCACTCCTGTGATAATAGGGCATTGGTTTTTTTTATTCTGGAAGCCAGCCTCCCTAGTATTTCCTTGATGGACCTGAATGGGTGTAGTTGTTTCCTTAACATCCACTGATAGACTTCTATTAGGGGTGGGATATATAACATTAGATTGGTGTTATTCATCTTGGGGGGTGGTTACTGATGTCTATATATACCATCATCGCTACGTTCAGTTAGAACACTCCGGATTCTGTCGGCTGTCCCACGTCCCTAAAGTACACAGAACATTGGGGATGTCTGCATGTACCCAACATTTTGCCCCTGCCCCCCCACCGGCGCCCCCCCGCCCCCACCATGTGATAGCTGTGTATGGCTACTTAGAGTCTGTGTCGAGTCACAAGTACCGAGATAGGAAGGAAGAAAGAAGAACTCACTACCTCCTCCTCCCCATGACCCACAATTCACCCCGACATACATGCGCTTATATAGCCAGCCGGCAGTAACTAAACCCTCGCGAGACTGTGGTGTTGGGTCAATAGTTTATTTACTAATATTCACAGCAGATCGCTTTATGCGTAGTTGTAGGATTCCTCCAAGTGTCACCCAGCCTCCCACCACCACAGGGTATCGGTAATGTGTATTCTACGTGGCTGTTTGTATTGGTGTCCAGCTCTGTTTGGTCAGACATTGTACTCTTACCGCATTTGTGTGTGTATTGTGCTTCATCGTCTCCAAGACACGGCTCATAGATGTTGTATCAGCCAGTCACATTACCTCCCTCCGCCGCCCCTCATTACCCTTATCGCACTAACACCTGTACATGCTTATCTCTCCTCCCTGCCATTCTTCATTTTGTTGATGGGTGATGCACCATGTTGGGGTATGGTGCATCACTACGACTGTACTGTGACAAAGCAATACTGTAATGGTTCTCGGCATAGTGAAATAGGCTCTTGAAGCCCGTGCCAGCACAGAAAAATAATATGAGCACATCCATCAATGTTATTTTCCGCTCTCCTCTCCTCTCCCCCTCCCCAGCCTCCTCTCCTCCTCCCTCCGCCCCCCCCACCCGTCCCTCCGTCCCCCGCCTCATTCTGCCCTCCCCCGAGACTACAGTGGACTTTTCGAAGAGGTGAGGGGGTGTTGAATGTGCCACCGACGCGTCCACGGCAACCATCTCTGGATCCACACTCACTCGGCTTCTGCCCTTCTCACAACAGCTATGTGAGTCTATCTCTCTCGCTTTCGACCAATCCACACAAGTTGTGTGTGGTTTTACGACAGACAAATGCGGGGAGTTTGTCCTTTGGTTGGGGGATGTTTCCCTAAGCACACATTGCCACTCCCCTTATCGTCCTCATTGTTGGCAGTGATTACACACACCGTATACTTCACACACGATTCCAATATGCTTGGGGAACATTGGGGGGCTACTCACGTTTGCTCACCAAATACGCTATCTGGCATTTTGTTAAAACGAAGCCTGAGTTTATTTCATGCTGCATTTGGTAACGAAGCCTGAGGTTTAATACCTATGGGCGCTTTGTTAACGATGCCTGAAGTTAAATCAGCTATGCTGCTTGTTAATGAAGCCGAGGTTCCTAGCTATGCGGCATTTGTTAATGAGCCTGGGGTTATGCTATCTGCATTTGTTATTAACGAAGCCTGAGTCATAGCTATTGCGGCATTTGTTTATGAAGCCTGATGTTCGGCTATGCGCATTTGTTTAGAAGCCCTGAGGTTACTACTAGCGCTTTGTTAATCTTTCCCTCTCCCCACCCTCAGATTTCCGCCGGAGGACCTCTGGTATGAGAATGGCCACCGTTGCTGACAGCGTCACTACGCCTTGTCTATTTGCACTCCATGCGCGCTTTGTCGCTTCTGCTTTGTTGCCCTCTCTCATCGACGTCACATGTAAGAGATTGTACTAGGTATTGTACTTCTAGTGGAACCCCTCTTCTCTATGAACACCCAATTGCACCACACCATCTCTAATATTAACCTTTTGAAGTTTAATATAACCACCTCCCCTATATGTACACTTTCTCTCTTCCCTTTTGTGTCGAGAATTTTAGGGGCCTTTCAGTGTGAATTTGAAATTTTGTGCATCTCTCAATACTTAGTGTAAGTTGTTCAAACAAAGAGTATCCACTGGCTACAAATGATCAAGGATACCCTTGTATTAATTTGATTATTAAGTCATTCCTCTCATAACTAGCTGCATAGCTCCGATTGGTGCCGTAAGATTTCGTGTATTAGTATGCCGTGCCACGTGCATTTTTGTCAACCAGGCTTTTCCATAACGTCTCCTGTCCCTGTGCCGTTAGCTGTATGATATTCACCCTGGGCAAGTGGCAGGAAGGTCAGGGAGGAGAGGGAGTACAGATCGAGGGTTGCCCTTTTACTGCAGGAGAGTCATAGCAGGCTCCCTGGGATTGGGGGTAACTGAGACCCACATGAATATCCGTTACTCAAAAACATGCAGCTTTGATTTTCTCGTAGAGGACCTCCCCATTTCACATTTCTCCCCCGTTCTCTCTCACTCCCCAACTCTCTCCCTCTCTCTCCTACTCCTCTCGCTCTCTCTTTCTCCCTCTTCTCCTCTCTCTTTCTCTCTCTCTCTCTCTCTCCCCTCTCTCTCTCTCCCCTCTCTCTCTTCTCTCTCTCTCTTTCTCTCTCCTCTCCTCTCTCTCCCCTCTCCTCTCTCCCCCCTCTCTCTCCTCTCTCTCTCTCCCTCTCTCCTCTATCTCCGCTCTCTCTCCCGCTCTCTCCCTCCTCTCTCTACTCCCCGCATCATCCCACCTTTCAGTAACAGGTTGGAGACGGTGCGGAAGCCACACTCTCTCCTCTCCTTGCTCAGGTCCCACCTCAACTTGTGAGTCCCAAACTGTCAAACTGACCTCCCTCCGTACAGGTCTTATTATGCCATGTGTCCGTTCTACCTGTGTCTTAGGTATGTGGTTCATGTCCACTGACGGAGGCCGACTCCCCCGAATTTTTTGGAATAGGTAATGTCCTAGTTGTCTCATTTTCTTTGCCTCTGGGGCACAATTAGTACATCCAAATAACAACAAGTAAGATATGAGTCGCACTATTTTTCCTCAGTGTGTATCACCAACGATCATATATAGTGTTCCTTATCTCCACGTGTTAGCTCCAGACCCAGTGACGTGTGTGGTCAAGTCATGTGTCCCCCTCGCCCTCCACGACACCGGGAACCGTCATCACCTTCTCCCGGAGCCCCCCCCCAACGAACACCGGACTCTACCGTGCAGGCCTACGACTCGCCGGTTGTGGTCGTTGCGTTCTCCATGTAACTTTTGAAGCCAAAGCTGCCCCCAACACCTCACCCCCGCCTCCGCTGCCAGTCTCGGCTCTCTCCTCACCATCCTTTGGTCTCTGTAACTGGTGGAGAGTCATAGCAAAAAACTGGCCTTCCAGTTTTGGAGGTTACTGGGGATGGCATGGGAAATTAATCTGCAGCTACTTCAGGACACAGCAGCGTGAACGACCACATCCCCCACGGCTTTCGTGAAGACTCCTCATTCTCTGTCATCGGAGGAGCGGGGGCTGGTCAGACTGCAAGTGCGCATCTGGGTCCAAATGCGCAGCGAGCCAACACGAACCTCCGTCGCTATGTCTACACCCAACCGACAGGAGGGGCGTCCCAGCTATGGCCCACCACGCTGCATAGGGCACGAAAGACGACGTGTGGTAAGTGGGCCACGAGTCGCATACCTCATCGCCGCGTCCCGGCCGTCGGGTGGGCGCGACCACGATACCTCTCATCCCCTAGCGGGGGGGGGGGCCCCCGTGGTTATCCCATAGAAGCAGGGCTCGTCATGTGGTAGGTATCACTGGAGCCAAGGATGCAGGGTCGATGTAGTGAGCGTGTGTAAAAATGAAAGCTAAAAAGATCGGCAAGGCACTCTCACAGCACGGTTCGGAACTACTAATGATAGCGGAAGGATGTCACAGTAACCTCATCGTAGCCAACACAACGGAATATACATGAGTGAAAAGTGAAAGATTGTAGGCTTCTCCGTCCGCGCACACACTAGCTAGTCCGTGAAATTAGCCGAGGTATGCAGCCAGCGCGTGCAGGGGCTAACGTGACCCTACCCCTGACCGCAATTTACCGGAGACTGGCGGAAGAGGAGGGGTGTTGCCAACGGGCGCGAGGAGTTGCATATCTCACACCATCAATGCGGGGGTAGTGGGCATGTAAATATTACCAGTGCGCGGTTGAAAGTGGGAGCCGGGGACACCACAAAACGCGTTGTTCAGAATTGAACACGATGTGCGGAAAAAAACAGAATAAAAGAATTGGTAAGTGTCACCACATCAAACGTATGTGGTGTGGGACAGGGCCTCGTTGCTGAGTAGTCGAGTATCTCCCATCCATCTCCCACTCAAACGTAAGCCCATGTTTGCTATAGCTCCACCACCGTACAGCGACCAAAGGTACTGTTGAGGAGAGTAGCCAACTGTCAGCGAGGCGGGGGTGAGGTCGTTGGGGTGTGGCTTCAACTGTTCCATGGCGACTGCACGACCACACCCGCAGAGCGTAGGCCATGCACTGTAGAGTCCGGTGTCGTTGGGGTGGGCGAGTCCGGGAGAATGTGTTGATGACGGTTCCCATGTGTCCGTGTTGGGACGACGGGAGGACCACATGACCTTTGAACCACACTACTGTCACTGGTCTGGAGCGACACGTGGAGATAAAGGAACACATCTTAGATTCGTATTTGTGATACACACGAGAAAACTAGTGCGACTCCATATTCTTCACTTGTTGTTTGGCATGTACATACATTGGTGCCACCAGAGGCAAACTGAGACAACCTAGGACATACTATTCCAAAAATGTGTGAGTCGGCCTCCGTCAGTGGTACATGAACCACATACCTAATACACTTGTGTGAACGACACATGGCATACATAGACATTGTACGGAGGGAGTGTTCAGTTGTGACAGTGGACTCACAAGTGAGGTGACTGAGCAAGAGAGGAGAGATGTGAGCCTTGTCACGTCTCCAACCCTGTACTGTAACTGTGGGAGATCTGGGGGAGGAGAGAGAGAGGAAGAGGGAGAGAGAGGGAGAGTAGAGAGAGAGAGATAGAGGGGAAGAGTAGGAAGGAGGGAAGAGAGAGAGAGAGAGAGAAAGAGAGAGAGAGAGAGAGACGAGGGGAGAGAGGAGATAGAGAGAAGAGAGAGCGGAGAGCGAGGAGAAGAGACGAAAGAGGAGAGGGCGTGCGTCGAGAGAGAAAGGGAGAATGTGAAATGTGAATGGTCATCTCCGAGAAATCCAAACAGCTCCGAATGTTTGAGTAAGGAATTCATGTCGTGTCTCAAGTTACCCCAACTCCCAGAGACGCCCTGCTATGACTCTCACTGCAGTAAAAGGCCACCCTCATCTGTCTCCCTCCCTCTCCTACCTTCCTCGCACTTGCCCGGTCGTTATATCATTACAGCTACACGCACAGCAGGAGGACGTTGGAAAGCCCGTGACAATGCACTTGGGCACAGGCATACCTAATACCGCAATCTTAATGCACCACTTACAGCAGCTATGCAGCTAGTATTAGAGAATGACTAATAATCAAATAATCAAGGGTTCCTGCTCATTTGTATGCCAGTGGACTATCTTTGTTATGAACCTCTTACACTAATGAGAGCATGCAAAAATTCAATTCACACTGAAGCCCCTAAATTTGGACCAAATGGAAGATGAAGTGTCCATACTAGGGAGGTGTCCTTATTAAACTTCAAAGGTGTCACTATTAGAGAGGTGTGGTGTCCTTGGGTGTTCTAGAGAGAGGGGTTTCCACTAGAAGTACAATACCTCGTACAATCTCTTACATGTGACGTGTGGAGAGAGGCAAAGGCAGAAGCGACAAACGCGCCATTGGAGTCAAATAGACTACAGGCGTAGTGACCGCTGTCAGCACGGTGGCATTCTCTATCACCAAGTCCTGCCGTCAGAATCTGAGGGTGGGGAGAGAAACTATTACCAATGCAGCATAGCTATAAACCTCAGGCTTCATTAACAATGCAGCACTAGCTATGAACCTCATGCTCATTAACAAAGCACATAGTCTATGAACCTCAGGCTCGTTACAAATGCAGCATAGCTATAAACCTCAGGCTTCATTAACAAATGCAGCATAGCTATGAACCTCAGGCTTCATTAACAAATGCAGCATAGCTATGAACCTCAGGCTTCGTTAACAAATGCAGCATAGCTATAAACCTCAGGCTTCGTTAACAAATGCAGCATAGCTATAAACCTCAGGCTTCGTTAACAAATGCAGCATACTGTAATTTTTGTGAGCAAACGTGAGTAGCCCAATTTTCCCCACGCATATTTGGAATCGTGTGTGAAGTGTTACGGTGTGTGTAATCCTGCCAAAATTGAGACGACTAAGGGAGTGGCAATGGTGCTTTAGTGAAACATCCACCAACCAAAGGACTAAACTCGCAACTTTGTCTGTCGTAAAAACACACACAACTTGTGTGGATTGGTGAAGCGAGAGAGATAGACTCACATAGCTGTTGTGAGGAAGGGAGACGAGGGAGGTGTGGGACCAAGAGATGGTTGCCGTGGCGCCGTCGGTGGCACATTCCAACACCACCCTCCCTCCTTCCGACACAGTCACTGTAGTCTCGGGGAGGGCAATGAGGCGGGGCGGAGGGAGGAGAGGGAGGCTGGGGAGAGGAGAGGAGAGGAGAGAGGAAAATAACATTGATGAGATGTGCTCATATATAATTTTCTGTGCTTCAAGTGCTTCAAGAGCCTTATTTCACTATGCTGAGCACCATTACAGTAATTTGCTTTTGTCACAGTACAGTCGTAGTGATGCACATACCCAACATGGTGCATTCACCCATCAACAAATGAAGAATGGCAGGGAGAGATAATCATTTGTACAGGTGTTCAGTGCGAGGGATGAGGAGGCGGAGGCTAATGTGACTGGCTATGATACAACCTCCTATGAGCCGTGTCCTTGGAGACGATGGAATGCACAATACACACACACAATGCGGTAAGAGTACACATTCTGACCAAATGAGCTGGCACCAATACACAAGCCACGTATGTATACACATTACACGATACACTGTGGTGGTGGGAGGCTGGGCTGACACTTGGAGGGAATACTACAACTACTGCATACAGCGATCTGCTGTGCCATATTAGTAATAAACTATTCGACCCAACACCACAGTTCTCGTCGAGGGTTTATGTACTGCCGTGTGGCTATCTACGTAATGTATGTGTGTGCATATGTGTGTTCATGGTGGAGGAGGAGGTAGGCAGTTCTTCTTTCTTCCTTCCTCTCTTCGGCTACTGTACTCGACACAGACTATAATAGCCATTACACAGCTACTACACATGGTGGGGCGGTGGGAGGCAGGGCAAAATGTTGGGCTACATGCAGATATCCCAATGTTCTGTGTCCTATTAGTGACTTGGGACCTGCCGACAGAATTCACGACGTGTTCTAACTGAAAGTCTGCGATGGTATATAATAGACATCAGTAACCACCCCCCCAAGATGAATAACACCAATCTAATGGTTATTATATCCCACCCTAATAGAAGTCATTCAGTGGCTGTTTAAGGCAAACAACTACACTCCATTCAGGTCCATCACAGGAAATACTCTAGGGGAGGCTGGCTTTCCAAGAATAAAAAAACCAATGCCATTATCACAGGAGGAAGCTACTATTATGATCTCTCTGGGAAACTGCAACAAGCACTACCACCACAGAGGAAGAAAAAGATCACCGAGGAGTTCCAGATGATTTTTTTAACCTCCCAAATGAGTGTGTTTCCCTCCTCTGGTGGGTATATATATATACACACTTAAAATGTCGCTAAATGCGACATGTTGTTCCCAGGTGCTCTACTGAAGCTGAATGCAAGAATTCCCCCGCACATTACCACAGGTAAATTCCTCCCTCACTCTCCCCTGACCACATATCTAACATTTCTGATAGACAGGAGTAGCATGAAAACCACAGTGGAAGAAGACTGTTCACATAGTAAGGGAAGGAGCAGTTAAGAGATAGGGGGGGGAGGCCATACAGTGTGAGAGACAAGAAGCCTGAAGCTCCAGCTAGTAGCCAGTGAGGCTGTCTCCACAGCAGGGGAGAGAGGGGGGAGAGGGGGGAGAGGGGGGGAGGTGAAGCCAGAACAGTGGGGATGTGGTGGGGAGCAATGCCAACACAGAGAGAGATTGGGAGATATGGCAGCTGGCAGGCCTCTGCTCTTTACTACAAATACTCTCCTGAAATTTCAGAGCTCAGCCGCTCCACCGCTCGCAATGCTGGATGATAACCCAAGTACACAACAAAGCTCGTGCAGTGTGGACTAACAGCCAATGATATGTGCACACACATGAACGCTCAAACAGCCTCGTGGCATGCCAACACTCACACAGGCATGCTAAAACAACAGACGAGATGCCAACACTCTAGCACTAATCTAGCACTAATACAGACGTCCTCTCACACATGCCAAACTTCACGCTATTGGCATTCCAGCGTGTGTCGAAGTATGCAATGTTGGATGATTACACCGGCCGCAGCTGCAGAGCCAGTGCCAAATGATATTCTGGCCACAGGCTTTGTGCTACCATGACAACCCTATCTCTACGTGGAAACAAAGGAATATTTAGGTCACTCCACACACTGACCTCTGTTAGTAAGTAAGGTAAGAGTTACAGTTGGTAGATGACTAACGAACTCAATTAAACTCGGAGGAACGTAAATATTAGCCTAATTGGCTATGTTTGGAGCTGACACACCACAACATACACACACACACGAGGCAGAGTGACAGCAGACGAGAGCTGATTAAAGGGAGCAGTGTTGGTTTGTGTGCCCACACCACTTCAGACCAGACAACCCAGCTCTGTATGTACCCACGGCATCCCTGCCACAACACACATGCATGGGGTGTGGGAGGGGAGAGAGCGGGTGACCGAGGGAGACAGGGAGGAGGTACCGCGCTCCCCTTACAGGTACCGACTACACTTCAACTGAGTCGCCATATATTCCCAATTAGAATGTTAGTTAGCCGAGTCAGCCACTTAATCCCACAGCAATTAGCTAGAACCACTAACAAAGGCATTGAAGAACAGAGAGTTTTCAAACAAATCGCATTCCACGAAGATCAAAGCCTAGTAGTAGTACCATATCGGTTCCCTCCCTGGCACCCCTCTCCCCCTCTCCCCTCTTCCTCCGTCCGATGGAAGGATCTGATTGGCTGAAGGTCACATGACCAGCACTAATGCAGAGCAACGGGACCTGGCTCACAGTATGTGACAACATGACTAGATAATGAGCGTGGAATGAAGCCTTGCCTGGCTACTACATACAGAGCCCTCTCCACTGCTCCCTTTGCTTTGGTGGCTGATTAGCAATACAATTTTGCAACAATTTACACCTTCATTATCTGCATAATACCCACTACAAACAATACTGCTGAAGGGTGGTGTTGTACGTGTCGCGGAGTTCTGCAAGGAACGCAAGAAGACTCAAGTGTTGAAAATGACACTGGAGGAAAGAAACTCCAAATGTTCCGAAGAATCTCAATTTTTAGCTCAAAGAGGTGATACTAATGTCTCTGTGAAAGAGGCAAAGGACCCCCATAAATTAGTAAAGTAATGCAACTAATCCGGACAACAAATGCAGGACACCCATTCAATGAGTCTCCTCCCAACAACAAACCAACAGTCACCGGTAGACACACACTACATTGCATAGCGGCAAAAACTAACTCAATTTGCAACTTGCAGGCTGCTGACTAGCGCACTCAAAAATCATCACGTGCCTTCTGTGCCTTCTCTATCTCACTGAGAAGCCCTTGTCAGGGAACACACTGTATTCAAGGTTCCTCAACTGGGATATTTATTGTTGGAGTGGGCCAGAATAACCCTCCATGAATACACCCAGGGCCTCATGAATCCTCCTATCTCCCCACCACACACACACAGTCCAAGGGAACATGTGCACATCGCAGCCACACACACATAACTAGGCCATTATAATTGACAAACAATATTTAAGATTTTCCACAAAATTACCACAGATTCATTCGCTAAAAAAACATCACTAATACTGTTTTCAACTGGCAAACTAAAGATTTATAAATTTGAAAATTGTGTAAAAACCAATGTTTGCATATAGCCAGGGAGTCTAGCACGACCGAAGATTGCATGTGTTTTTGCAGCAAGAGGCTCTTTGAAACCATAGGCCTTTTGTGAGCAGTTGTGACTCACGCACAAACAGACACACATGAGAGGGGAAGAGCGGTGAAAGGGAGGGCAGATAGACAAATACGACCAGAAGGACATGAATGAAGAGACAAAGAGAGAGAAAAAAGCAAGCAGGAGGAGGGGGAGAAGAGAGAGAAATGGAGGCAACAGGAAAAACGAAGGCAGAGGTGCAAACAGACAGGCAGGTGAAAAGAAAGGGAGTGAGAGAAAAGGGGAGAAGTTGTCTCACCGTTTACAGAGAGAGAGCTAACTCTGCTCCATCGCGTCTTGCCCGACACCTCATTCTCCGCGAGACACTGATACTCTCCCTCATCCGTGTCCGTGACGTTCCTGATGTACAGGTACCCACTCAGGGAGAGGACGACCCTATCGTTGTCAGGGGAGATTGGGTGGCCGTCTTTCTTCCAGCGATAGACGGCTGGAGGGTTCGAGTCGGAGAGGTGACAACGGAGGAGAGCTGTGGTTCCTTGACCCACGGTGGTGTCCTCGGGCTGCTCTGAGAAATGGTGGTGGATACCTAGGGAGTGAGGGAGGGAGGGAGGGAGGGAGGGCGACAGGCAGAGAATGTAGGGAAGGAGGGAGGGAGGGAGACAGAGAAAGTAAGTAGGGAGGGAGAAAGACAGGAAGGATAACAAGAGAAGAGAGGAGAAGGGAGGGAGGGAAGAGAGAGTAAGTAAAACCCTTTGTGTAGGAAGATAAAACCACAACAAAGACATACCTACTTATCTCCAGGTGTAAACACTACACATACACTGAGGTCCACACAGATGGTGGAGGGATACTGACCTTCACACTAACACATACACTGAGGTCCACACAGATGGTGGAGGGATACTGACCTTCACACTAACACATACACTGAGGTCCACACAGATGGTGGAGGGATACTGACCTTCACACTAACACATACACTGAGGCACACACAGATGGTGGAGGGATACTGACCTTCACACTAACACATACACTGAGGCACACACAGATGGTGGAGGGATACTGACCTTCACACTAACACATACACTGAGGTCCACACAGATGGTGGAGGGATACTGACCTTCACACTAACACATACACTGAGGCACACACAGATGGTGGAGGGATACTGACCTTCACACTAACACATACACTGAGGCACACACAGATGGTGGAGGGATACTGACCTTCACACTAACACATACACTGAGGTCCACACAGATGGTGGAGGGATACCGACCTTCACACTAAAACATGTATCGAACCTCACGTAGCATACTTTCAGGTTGTTGCAATTCCTCACGCTAACCAGAGTGAGCGTATCAGTTTCCCTCAAATCTTTCATGGTAATATTATAGGGAGCATCCACAAACAGAGAGTGGAGGAGGGCCCAGGCATTTCGTATACAGCAGTCGAACAATCACCACACCATCCATAAACCAACGCTCCGTTACACACGTTAATTACATTCCAGAGGTGTTTAATTGAGGGCGGTTGGTGTATCGGGGACAGAAATGCAAGGTATTTAGACCGTGGGGCACGTCTTTTGTCGGAATATTTAGCTCCGCATCCTTCAGGTATGAGGAGGTTACGGCAGCAGTGTTGCGCCGAATGCCGCGAATTTTTCCAAAACCACAGATTTGATTGGTGTGTCCTCCCACCGCCAGAGTCTGTCACCCTTGACAGGTGTTAGATTGGTGTGGGACTCTGACTACGGGTAACCGAATCTGGTGTTATTGTGGACTATGAGAAATCCCTTGTGAGGTACACCGACAGTCTATTAGCAATGACGCTTATTGCATTACCACGCCAACAAGCCAAGCATACAGACGGATTAAATACGAATGTTGTGTACTTGTGTTTTGCTACCTCTCCCCTTTTATTAATTGTCCCACTGTGTGAGCCCGTTGTATAAAGAATTCGATGGGGTGCTGTTAGAGGTGAGATGCATATCTAGCCCCAGGATGTTTGTTCATTCGTTGTACAGGGGTAAGGTAACCAAATTGAGCGATTGTGAGCAAAACAGACTCCAGCAAATATGTATTACATAAGCATAGTATAATATACCTACGTATAATTAATGCATAAAGAGGTTGTTATTGTGCTAATAATGAGAGTGAGTAAGAGAATCGTGCAAAGGGAAGAGAGAGGATATCAGGTGTAGTATATATACAGCAGGGCTGCCAGAAGCCAGGTCAGGGACAGAGTTGTATGTCATCTAATGGCGTAGCTACTGTCCATTCTTGGTAAGTAAGGGGTTTATTACACTGGGGTCACCATGCCTCAACACTACTGAAGCCTCCTAGCTCCCTGTGCCTGCATCCTTTCAGGCACACACACACACACACAAGCACTCTGCTCAATCCAATCATGTCCCGAGTGTTTTCCACCTAGCCTCTTGTCCAGGCTCTCTCCCCCTCTCCCCTCTCTCCCCCCTCTCTGTGCACACTCTCTTAAATTGCACACACGATAGAGAATGACATCAACGATGCTGTGACACATTCAGCAGACCTGTAGAGTAAAGCACCCTATTAGACAAGTAAGAACCACATACCAAGCCTTACGGTCGGTCTGGCAGCTACAAGCAGCTTTGTGTGCTACTATTATGTTTGGTGAGGTGGCATGCACATCCCGAGGAGTTTCCAAGGGAGCCAATGTTGTTGTTGCAGTGTATGTATGTGGGTGGGTGGGCACTAATTAAGTGGGTTAACCCCACTCAATATAGGGGAAACCTTCTTCCCATCCACTCATCACCGCTGTTTTGTACAGTCGCCACACTTCCCCACACGGGAAAGGAGTGCTGTATTGCAATTTGTTTAGTAGCAACATTCTGGCAACTTGCCACTTCTGGCTATAAGACCACCGTCCATCTTTGAGCAAGAAATCAGCTCCTCCTCCTCTATACTCACTCACAACTGGCCCGGGTCTCGCAAATTCTTGCCAAGTTTGCTGGGGGATTGGTGAAAGGCTTGCCCTCATGTATAGTATGGAACATGTTCTACAGGAGCTAGATTGTAAACAAACGCTTGACAGCGAACTCTGTGATAATTAGGTATGTAGCCAACAAACGTGAGGGTATGTATGTGCACTTGAGCCAATGGGCTTTACATCATCTTAGATTGGGATTGAGGTGGCTGATTAACTGTTAGTGGGGGGACACCTGTAGAGTGGGTCTGCAAGCATGCTATATACAGGCTATAGAGATATAGAACCATGTGGCCACATGTGTGGGAATGAAAAACCAAAAAGGCAAGTAATGCAGGCACAGGCCAGCTAGGCTAAAGACAGACAGACGATTGCCTGAACTAGGCTGCAGTGTGGGAAGGAAAAGAGATAGAAAAAAAACAACAGAAAGGAAGGAAATTCGTTAGCTCACTCGCATGAGTAACATTAGCAGGGCAGCTCCGCACGGAGTTTCCGGTGTCGGTCGTGACCAGGCAGTAGTAGAGTCCGGCATGCTCACTGGCATGAAACGAGTCAACCAGAGGTCGTCCCCGTTCGTTACGATCCTCGGGTCACCCGTGACTGGAACAGGACCAGCGGCAGGTTGACCTCTGAACCACGCAGTGTGGGTTGTGTGTGGTGAATTACAGGAGAGATGCAGCGAGCCGTTGGTGGGTACCGCTCGACCAACCGGGTCCTCTATTGTGAGCTGGGAATCTGGAGAGAGAAGGAATGTTAGGAATGTGATATCAAAATTCAATCCTGATCCTGTTTAATATGTCGGAGATTAGCAAGCAATAGGTACAGAATAGGTCACTAATAATAACAGTAGCGGGAGACGTAATTGTCACAGTTCATCACAGTTCATCACCACCTCATTCGTCGGACAATAAACCTCTAGACACCATCCCACCCCTGCATCCCATCTTCTTCTCATAACTTACACCTCCCCTCCCTCATTGCTCCATTTTACTTTACTTTCTACCCTTCTTTCTGACAAGTACACCCAGAGGATTACGTTATGCAAGCGTTCAACCCAAGCACCTGACCAGCAAGCACTGCAATAGTCCATCATCAGAGGCTGATTTTTTTGCACCTCTAGAACAGAGACCTGGCCTAATCTGAGAGCTGTCAACAGGAAGCAGTGTGCCAAGCACATGTCATCAGATGTGGGTGCTGTGGGTAGGGCTCCGCAAAGGTACTCACTAAGTGGCTCATTATGTTCAAATAAACCTCTAATCTGGCAATAATGCAGCAAAGAGAGGCATATCTAGGATCCCATTCCACTGGGAGGAGGGGGAGAGTGGGGGAGAGAAGGGATTCCTGGCCAACCCAGGCCCAGCCAGAGCTTATAAAACACATCTGCACTCTACAATATATCAGTGCTCTGCATGCAGGTTAACATGGGTTATTAAACACTCAGTTTACCACTCAGTTCCACACATTATGTTGTCAGTACACTAAAAGTCTCAAAATGAAGGTAACATTCTACGTTGTTCACCCAGTTGCCAGAGTTGTTCGCACAGTCGGGAGGCTCAAACGGGGTAGCTAATCTACAGCCAGATCAGTGCCATATGCCACGACACCCGCCGCTACGCTGACACGACAGCAAGTGTACTCACTCGTATTCTTAGTATTTACATCCGCGCATACACCAACAGAAATAGCGAACATGCCCTCGGCAGACACTATGGCTGACGGGAGATTAACAACGACGCATCGTAGTCATCAGCCGCACATGCTCGGCCGCTCTCACGCACAGCGAAAGTGTCCGCAATACATCTGGCTATCGAACCGACTCACCGGTGGCGGCGAGACAGAGTGCCAGACACGTAGGCCGCTCTTGCAAACAGAGACGCTTCCATCGCAGCCTTCACAGTACTCAGAGTTTGATGTGATGTGAATGCTTGGCTAGCAACCTTTACCGCGTCATTACCTCCATAACGGAGGCGTGCCCGCGATGATTGATCACCCCTACCTGCTGCGCCTCAGTTATGCGCATGCGCATAGTGGGACCATTGTGCGCATGCGTTAGTAAGAAGAAACATATTGAATTTGTTACCGGTACACGGAAGCGGCGGGAGACGGAAGAGATGGAGTGTGAAATCCAGCATAGTTTTCCCTTCGTTCGTGGTTTTACAAAGGGCGTGTGTGTTGTGAGGCCCCTTGTTGCTCTGCTCCACACTCGCAAGAAAACTCGACGGATTCAACTGAGGTGGAGAAAAGAAACGGTCTTTTAGCTAGCTGTGTACATTTGCTCGGCGTGTCGGACATGCAAGAAAGCGGCTGGTACTTGGGGGGCGTCCGCGATGGTTAGTGACGGCGGTTCTCATCTCCGCTGTACTCTCTACTGTCAGAGCCCAAGTATCCCAGGTAGAGAGCGTTCCTGGCCTAGCGTTGGAGGGTTTTTCGCTTGCGAACTTGGTCGAATGTTGTGTGTGTGTGTGCGGGCGAAGCTGTTCGCGAGCGCGGTGGTGTGCAAACACTCCTCGATGCAGTCTACCTGCCTAGCCTCCTGGCGGGGACTCGCTCCCGCCGCGTGAGAAGTGGGTAATGGGGTGCCAGCTCCGTGAAGGGGTAATCTGTGTCTGGAGAGGTGCTGTGGTAAAGATTGGATTCCAGTAGTACTGCCTCGCCCACACGTACCTCATCAGCCTTTTGCCTCCCACCCTCCTTACTTACCTCTCTGTTCCCAGTGGCCCCTAATAGCTCACGTCTCAATATGTGTTTGGTACAAAGCTTTTGCGGCATCTTTGTACTTCGTTCTGTGCATAGCAGCCAGCAAGCCCCGAGTTTGGAATACGAAGTGTTGGGGTAGACTGGCACGGGGGAAAGGAAGTGAAAGAACTTGGGAGCTGAGGATAGTTCCAGTGTAATAAGTTCCTATACATAATCCTGTTAGTACCGAGAGAGAGTTTGCTGGGGATATTATCCCCTGTTGTGTAACACTGGCGAGCGATTGCGTGAAAATTGCGGAAACATGCTACACGTGCATGTTAGGAGAGGGCTCGGGTGGCCGGGAGACTCTGTTATTTCAAGGGACTATTCATTTTAAAGGGCCCTTTCACTTTCTGAGACTTTCATCACTATGGCTTTTGTTGCACCTTCAATGGTATTATCATAAATTATTAAGCATGTGCACTAATGGGTTTTGGGGGGGGAAAAAAATTTCCATTTGGCCCAACCAACAAAATTTAACAGGAGCAGCCCCAGCCTTCCCTCCCTTGATGATCCTCGGAGACAGTTTGTGTTTGGAAGAGAGATGCTGACGATATGCCGGTTCTCTATATCACCTGTCCGGTGACTGCACCGTCCTCCTACCAATAAACTGGTGAGTCAGCTATATAAATCCACTATATAAAGTACTGCATGTTGGTTCTACGTAGGACATGAATCTACTGGTACTTGTATTATAATGTTTCAGGGGTTCACTTGTGGC